ATTATAAAATTAATTCAGAATTTAAACCAATCATGACGCGGCTTAGGTAGAATTGGCTATTAAACCAATCAACATGCGTTACTTATTTTCATGTAAGTGCATACGTCACGGCACACGATTAGCTGCGCAGTTTAGCAGACCCAAATTTCCGGTTTTCCTTTTAAACGAAATTTCGGGCTGCGAGCAGGCTAACTTTTGCTGCACTTTACTCAGCAGTTCTGTGATCACACGTTCTACGTCTGAATCCGCCCACTTAGCAGTTTCAAATACGTCGTCGCATTTCTTGCACTTTTGCCCTCCCAGAAACAGCTTCACGTTACCACGTCGTTCATTTTGGGAACGAGAAAGACGATAGCGAAATATTGTTCCACCGCTAACCGACGTCCATCTATTGTTGCATATGCTACAGTCGAACCTTGCAGGTACTAACTAGTTTTAGACAAAAGAATAAAGTCGCTTCGCGCGAAAAAATTCGCCAGTGGAAAACCGGCTTAAAGGCCGTTTTCCACCAGGCGGAATTTTCCGCGTGGAGCGGAATTTCTCTTTGACTTTTCTAATTAGTTCTATCCGAGAAGTCACAAAACAAAGAGAAATTCCGCTGCGCGGAATATTACAACTACTGGAAAACGGCCTTTACCCGCTGCGTTAAATTAATCGTCTTAATCAGCACATAATCATATGTTGAACGAAACCAAAAACAATTAACTTCCCATGCATAAAATTCGGTTCAATTGTGTTTACGCACTCATTCAGTATACAGTACGGAGTGCTCAGGCATTCAAATTATAACAACAAGTTAAATTTCTGAAGGTCCTTTTTATATCCTTGTATTTGTCACCTAGCTGGCGGTCGTTTTATTGTCTTTAAATTCACGAGAAATGGGTTGTAATTCGCCAATAAACTATTGCATGAATTTTTTAAACAATGAAAAGACAATAAGTAAATTATGCGAAAGACCTTTTCCGTTGCATACACAAAGTTTCAATTATCGTTTGCATTTCCAGTCATTAATCCTCCAGCTGCATCCTGTGTGTCAAAGAATCCGACTCGATATTCTTCAACAAAACACCTTAAATTGAAACGAAATCGCTCAATACCTCGAACTGTTTACCTTATCCTTCCAAACATATGTTGGGGGAAGTTTACTGCGACAAAACGGCTCGAACAACGATTACGTTGATCTATATCTTACGCCTGGGACATTAAGCCACGCTTCAAGAAGTTATAACGGCCAAGTTATAGTCTAGGATTGCCGATTTGGAAAATTCTGTAAACGTTGGTCAAGAATGTACGATATGTGATGTGGTTTTCACAAAATAATGCATAGATCGAAAAGCTTAATACAACATTGTCTATTAACCTATGTTCGCTAGCAAGAGCTGAATTTTTTTAGCAAAACTTCTGTAACACAGCATTGGACATGGTCACTCATGGCAATTTAGCATTAAGGCATGGTATTATTAGATGGATTTTGTTTGGAAGTATGTTTAAGATCAAAAATACATTTCTAAATGTGATTGGAGTGTCTCCGAAAAACGTCGTATGGATGAAAATCGAATACACAGACAATCAGGTAAGAGACTGCATTGATGTGTGAGGGTCCTGAAGGGGTAAAATGGGAACTGGGTTTTGCTTATTTTTGTGTGGGAAAATGGGATTTCATGCACTGGGACTGGGATTCGTCAGCAAAAAAAAACAATAGAAAATGGGAATGGGATTAAGATCTGAGCAGGACAGCCACTGAGATGATGGGATTTGTGCTCTGGGACAATGGGATTTGGGCTGGGAAATAGGAATACGACCTCCCCCCACCCCTTCAGGACCCTCATGTATGTATTGTTGCAAAATAAATTGTGGTTTACATGTTGGTCGTGTCACAAAGATTTATGCATGTGGCATTCTGATCAGCTCTGCGACCTGCGTGCATTCTTTGGGATAGCCTTTTATGTACTGAGGGATTTCTGATTAGAATTTCGTCTTGAGCCAGTTTTCCACTTCAACCGGTACTTAACGTACTGGTGAGCATGCGCAGATTAAAAGAGGTTAATAAATCGCGTACTTCCGGGTGTATTCGCGAATCAACATGAAAAGTCCGTCGCAAGTCAACTTTTTGGCGTACTACGGAAGTATTAACCAATTGACATTCACTAAATTTTGAAATTTAAAAATGTTTTTGATACGTTTCGGTACGGTACGCTTGAAGTGGAAAACTGGCTTTAGGCCTAGCTTGTTTCAGAAATCGAAACTGCTGAAATTTGATTGCTGCTAAATCGTTTAATTTATTCGTGATAAATGCCGTTTTATATGGTTTTATTTTATGCAGCACTTTATGCGCGATAGTGTCAAATTATTTGAAGGGTTACGTCACATAATTAGTGACAAAAAGTGGCTTCGAAATTCCGTCGAGTGAAATTCAGAAGCATTAAAGTTAAACGCAAGGAATTAAATTCAACGGAAATTGGTCGTTTTGAACAGGTCTGAGTTGCTTGAGAGAACAGTGCTGGCTTGTGCTGATATCAATAAGGGTTTTTACTGGACCTCTTGGGAGAACAGTTAAAAACTCACTGAACTATATATGGTTTAGGTTTCCTTCTGTAGTGACTCTGAGCTGACCAATAGGGCTAGCCATTAGTGGATCTCCAGCGAGAACAGTCTAGACAAAAATGTATATATAAACACCTCATCAGTGCATGGGAGAGGTTGTTAATATAAGATTTTTGATTCAAGATATATTAGATTCTAACTTGGTTGCCTGCGCAACAACCTGTACAAATTAAAGTGTACAGTTTATAATTTTTGGTCTTTGTAGATGTATCCTACAATCAGTGAAAATTGTGAACCGATTAGGCTGAAGTTCGTCATTTAGTTATGGGCATATAAGCACCCTTTCCCACTGTTCAATATTGCGAGACTGAAACTAATATTTTATCTGAAACAGTTTAATATAAACTCTCTTGTTAATAAATCTCCTAGCAAACAGAGCAACATTGAAACGGAGGGAAAGGGGTTTTACATGTTAGTTTGTGCAATTATTTACAAAGATAACCTGACTACTTATTATTTTTCGAATTTCCATACCCACCCCTCTCTTTTAGTGTTTTTTCGTTATAAAAGATGTATATAGAAAACTTACAAACTTCTACATGTTATTATTGAAGTACAAAAATCAATACGGCCGACTTCTACGACCCCTATTTATACCTAATTATCCAAACTAATCTATTATGCATATTTACACAAATTATATATACATTATCCCTAAGCACTATACCTCCCCGACCCTCTTTCAATGTTAAGTCTCAATTACCATCTTACTTTTGTGTTTGATCGGGTAAACAACATTTTAATGTTTAAAATATCAGTGGTATATGCAAATTATTACAAACGTTTATATCTCTCTCCCCCCCCCCCCATTTAAAAATGGGGAGGGGGAGGGAGATATAAACGTTTGTAATAATTTGCATATATCCACTGATATTCTAAAACCGCAAGCGTCTCAACAACTTTTGAAAGTACAACTAGATTGCATCCATTGGTGCTTCGCCTGGTTTCAGTTTATAATGTGGAAAAAGAGTTTCTGCAACATTTTCACCATGCTGTCGTCTTATATCTCTACATATTGAAATAAACTGGACACCAAACTCCATCAAGGAATATGTTCTTGTATTTCTTTGTCTAGGAATATCTTGTTGCTCTTGATGCGGGATAGGTTCCTGCTGATTTGGAATATTTTCTTCTGTTCTGTCAAGAAGGTATCCCTGTGTGTGCATGGCGACGATGTTTCCATTCATTTCAATAACAGGAGATCCGCTAGCACCACGGAAAAAACTAGTGTCGTATGACAGACGACCTTGGTAATCTTCAGTTTTCTGCAGTAACTGTGCATTGGTCATATGTACGCCATTAAACTGTTCATGTCTTTCTCTTATTCTCTCCTGCATCTTGCGATAGCCGACAACAACACAGACTTCCTCCTTCATTTCCTTTCCTTTCGGATGCCCAAGGATGATAACTTGCCCATCTGATAATTGCCAATTTCTTACCATTGGGCCAAGTGGAACACGATAATTAAGACCTTCGCTTTGCCTTAAATGAAAAAATTTATAATCCAAGAATGGATTCTCAAACGTGGTGTCCCGTTCTTCATCAACTTCTACAGTGAAAATATGTTCTGTTTGTTCAGGGCGCAAATAACCAAACAAAACAGTGATGGGCAAATTGGGATCCCGAAGCCTATTTCTTTCATCTTTAATCATCCTGTAAATGTGATAGTTCGTTATCACCAGCGCGTCCGCAACAAGGAAACATGTCCCTCGAACTTTGCCACATGCAATTTGACCAATGGATTTGATGTATGAAGCGAAAGTTTCATTCAGTCTTGCAGGCTTTTGAGTCGATGCATTTTTAAATACTTCGCTTCTTGCAAAGTTGAAAACTTTTCTATCCCCGTTAGCAAATTTTCCATTTTTCCCGCCAACTTGAACGTGTTGATTCAAGAAGCTTGCATGTACTGACTTTTTAACATTTTCTGTCATGGCTTTACGAACTTTCTCAGTGAAAGGTTCCTTAATTGATATTTGGCGAGTATACACGTACAAAGGAGAAATTTCTTTGATGTATTTTTCCATAAGGACCAAGTCTTCACTGGTGTATTCTTTCTGTTCTGCTTGGGTTGCACGCTTCTTCCATCAGCTCATCCACCCACTCCTCTGAAAAAATGAAATGAGAGGATATTTATAATTTTGCATGCTTATCATGACGTGTGATATTCTTTCATTTTTATCGCTTATTGTTTCTGAAATGTTCAACTAAACTGACGAAGCAAAACATTTAAATTTGTAGATTTCTTTTCATGCTTCATTGTGAAATTAATTGCAGGCATTTATTAGTGCCATTTATTTAGATTGAAAAAATCCAAATTCCGAACGGGGATCTCACTTGTGAGTGAGGGGTTTAAAAATACTAAGTTTAATGCAAGCATATATTATAGCTATATCAAAATATTGTGTGAACTAGGAGTCACTATCGCAAGGAAAGTGCTGCCTTTTTGCCAACATGAACTGTATGCAAACGTTTATACTTCTAGACAATTCTCTAAAGGGCAGTTTACATTTAACTCAATGGCCTCATTTCCACGTTTCATCATAGGTAGCATGGCAAGCCTGCACGTGAAGGTTATATCCCCTATGGCTATGTTTCCTGCACAAATTGGTTTCTCGTTCATCATTTAAGACCAATCACATGAATATCTTCTTAACTCTTCAGAATTTGCTTAGAGTCAATGTGAGTAAAATACTCCTTCTATTCAAGCGCTTTCATGTAGAAAGTTTCGTTTGAATACGGCACAGAGTAGAAATATTTTTTTTGAATTTTTCAAAATATCGGGTTTTCATTCGCACGCACGCGCCAGGTGTATGCTTGGCCATATATAGCCCGATGCACGTGTAAACCATGCCACTGTGAGTACTTTGACTTGTAGAATCGATTTCCGGTTTTTCCAAACCCCTAGGGCCAGGATGTAAACAGCGCTTTGTTTTGAGAACGTTTCACTGGCCGCGCTAAAAATATAAATACTATTTACTTATTTCTGTAAGTACCGAAATAAAAGGTGAAAATCTGACGACACAAGCTTGAAAATAACACTCTAAATAATGTTTTGGATTCCGGTTCGAATAAGACTATTACGAAAAAGATATGTCCAAAGGGGCCAAAGTTATGTTCGGCGGCTATTTTACATTGTTCGTTACTATGAAATATGATACCATATGGACCTTCATACTTGTATTAAAGATTCGCGTCGTATTCATTTTCGCTAGCTTTAAATTCGTGCGATTTAATAAAATTTTAATTTCGCGCACTTTGTTGAGACACATTCGCTCAGCTTTAAATTCGCGCAAGTAATTTTCCGTGTTCGTTCTTTTTGGTTTGTTTTATAGCAAAATTCATGAAATAAAGCGAGCGTTCAAAATACCAACTAGAAATAAAACATTTATCAGTATGGTTCTCATTTGCCTAATACAATAACATTAACAATAACAATAATCTTTACTAGCATTTCCATATATTATAGGTTCATAAGGCAAAATCATCTCGATAACATGCTATTACATTTTTACTCGTTGTATTATAATTAACACACTATTGACGAATAGATCATTATTGACAAATACATCATTGCTATAAAATATGCAGACAACAATCCACACTGGGTTGCTATAGAAATCTTATTTTAATAAGCCTGATTACGTTGACGATGTCGTTTCTATTTTTTTTCTTACACAGTAATTGAAGATTGATAAACGACACATCGTTAGTTATATTTTTGTAATATCATGATATTGTTTCAATACCTAGCTCTATATCGAACACTAAAATCGCATATTGTTTCAACGATGATAGACACCCCCCCCCCCCCTTCATACTTCATTAATTTCCGTAACCCCCTTGGATGCGACATACAACTCGACGAAATATCGAGATTCAAGCCACAAGAGATTCAAGCCACAACGTGCGTCGAGAATAGTGTGTGCCTCGCTGGCGCTCGGCAGCAAAAATACTAAAAATTTTAAAATATTTAATTTTTCGATGTGGCGAAGCTGTAGCCATGACAACTGGTCATGCTCTGCTAATAACCTGGTTAAAGTCAATACATTTGTAAAAGTTTATATAAATAATATAAATCATTAAAAATTTGCATGCATATCATCATGTGTACATGTTGCAATGTCTACCATGTTGCTTTCACCACTGCGAGATTGCATGTTTATAACACAAACGAGGCCACCATAATTCTCGATATCACACGAAAAGCGAATTCAAATATTATTTCAAAAGTTATATAAGAAAATATAAAATTGCAATAAATAGCAAAGCAAGATGTTTTTTTGAAAATTCTGAATGCTGTCTTTGCAGCTCGTTTGTGTTTCCATGTTTCCACTTCTTTTTTGTCTAATAGTTTTCATTTAGCGAGACAAATCTCGCCGTGGCTTTATTTTCTTTCGTGTATACACAAGCTGCTTTCGCGACTATTCTCTACATGCATAGCTGACGTCATATATACATGTACATTACTATTAATTGCAGATCTGAGATCATAATTTTGTGATATATCAATGATTGTATCAACCAATCAATCAATACGGAGAGTGTAAATGTAATGCGCATAATATTTTTTGAGATAAATAAGACGTAGACATTTTGTTATTTGTATTGTCCAAAAGATTCAAATCAATATAGCCGAAGAATTAGGAGTTATTTAATTATTTAAAACATAAAAGTGCTATTTACTTCTTTTCTATTTTGATTTAGTGATGGATTTTCATTATATTCTAATTTAGTAGACGTGTTACCTGTAATTACTGGCTTTTTCTCTTGAAACGTGGCAACATTTTCTGACTTTTTTTCTTCAATTGCACCTGAGAAAAATATTTTAAAAAAATACTTAAACTAGATAAAAAATATCGCGTAAATGAATCGCATCTATATTGTCTGACGTGGAGGACTGTCCTTCATGTGTATAATGCATGTAAAATTAATTTGTATATAGAACTATATATATAAACCGGTCTTCTCTATTTTCTGGACGGCATAAAAACGCACTCACTTTGCAGAAAAAGTCTTGTTAAACTGAAGTTTAATTGAGATCACTCCGAAGATAGCTTTTTGGAAGTCGAAAGTGTGTGTGGCTGGTGATACATGTATGTATGTATGTAAAAATTTATTTAAAGACGCTAGCCTTGTCAACAAATAGAGTTGATTTCCACAAGGGGCGTCGACATTTGAAAATTTACAAAAACTATTTACAAAAAGGACAAATATAAGTACAAATACATGCAATATATATAGTAATTAATTAGAATGGTTTAAAAAGAAGTTGGTGGTTTGGTGTGATTTGGCCATATAAATATGTCTGTAATAATCCATTTAAATTAATATTAGGTTAGTTACTTTGCCTTACAATATTTTTAAAAGAACATATTGATAGGGCTTCCTTAGCTTCACCAGGAAGATCATTCCATAGTTTAGCACCACTATATCGAAAACTCTTTTTCAGAAAGTCGCGTCTTGGCTTAGGAACGGCCAGATCATTCTGAGCATTTCTGAGATCGTAAGTCGTTTGCGAAATATTCCTTTTTATCAAAAACTCTTTCAAGTTCGGCGAACTATGGTCGTTTAGAATTTTATAGACAAGAGTTGCCTTAGTTAATTTTCTTCTAGATTCTAAATTGTCCCATTCAAGAGATTGAAGAACGTCAGCAGACCTGATCTCATAACCAGCACCAGCTATTATTCTAGCTGCTCGATTTTGAAACTTCTGCAATTTGTCTTTTAATGTTTTGTTACAAGTGTCCCAAAGGGGAGAACAATAATCGAAGTAGGGTTGTATCAAAGCGCTATAGATTGATTGCAGCATGTTTACAGGAACGAATGGCTTTATGCGCCTTAACGTTCCAATACCTGCTGCAACCTTTCTTCAAATTACGTCAATATGCTCATCCCAACTCAACGTTTCATCAAGGGTGGCGCCCAAACAAGGTATTGAGGTTACCCTAGGAATTGGTTGACCATTTAACATTACAGGAATGTCATTATTTATCTTATGGAGATTATGTTTAGATCCTACGTACATTACTTTAGTTTTGGATGAATGGTGTTGCAATTTGTTTTGTTTGAGCCATTGACTTATGTTATTCAAGTCACTGTTCAAATTGAAGACAAGGTACATAACTTTATATCGAAAAAACTGTCGTGTTCTGTAGTAATTATAATATTTTCGGACTCAACGGTTTTATTCAATATTAATACAATATACAATTTAAGCTTTCACTCAGTCACGCCATCTTGAATCTCCCCAGTCCCCCGTCTCTGACCCGTACATCACATCTCCCCTTTTCTTTATGGACCAAAAGTAACTCAAACAATCATAAATAACCAATTAATTTTAACCTAAGAAGTTTTTAAGTGTTTCCCGATACTATACTAAAACACCATAAATGTTGTCACTTATCGGGTACTGTTTTTCAATAACGTAAATATTCAATCCAATACAGTCCAGTTCAACCGATTTCTTCTTCATAATATTGTGGTCGAATGTCTCAATTTTCTCTCCTTGGATATCGATTTAACGGCTGGTCTTGCTCTGCATTATCAATATCTTCGTCTGATAACTCACTTGCGATATCATTCTCTGGATCTTCCTGTTGTTGCTGGGCTGCCATTTCTTCCTCTTCTTCTTCACTACTGTTTGAATATGGATCGTCCACTTCTTGAAAGTAAGGAATTACACGCTTGAAATGTGACGAATTTCGTGTGACCGTAACCCCTCGGCGTTTGGCCGTGATTTGTGATCCTTTTATACCTGTTACGCGATATGGTGATGGATCCCAAGGTAAATATAACTTATTTCTTTGACTTTGTTTCAACAATACCAAATCTCCGATACGGAATTGGGGTTCTTTAGCTCTGTTTCGTTTATCTTCCCGATCCTTGATTTTGTTTTTCTCCCTAGCATCGCGTTGAAGTACAGCTTCACGACTTGTAGTTGGAGCCGTTTTATCCTGATTTCCCCCTTTTCGTTCTGGGATCATCGCGTTGCTATCTGGAAGTCTGTTACGTATTTGTCGGTTGAATAGTAGATCTGCCGGTGCAATTCCTGTAGTAACATGTGGTGTTGTGCGGTAATCTAGGAGAAAACGATAAAGTTCCGTTTTCCAATTCTTTCCTTGTGAGTGAGCAATTCTAACTGATTTTTCAATAGTCCTCATAAACCGTTCTACGTGTGCATTGGCCTGCGGCCAGTATGGCGTAATCTTTCGATGTTTGATTCCATTTCGTGCTAAATAGTTGTGGAATTCGTGTCCGTTAAAAGGTGGACCATTATCGCTAACAAATTCAATTGGGAATCCATGAACCGAAAATATTTTCTCAAGCTTTCCAATAGTGACCGCGGTTGTAGTTGATCGAATGATTTCGACCTCAGGAAATCGGGAATGTTCATCCATTAACACTAAAAGATAGTCCCCACTGGGGAATGGTCCACAAAAATCCCCATGAATTACTTGCCATGGTTTGGATGGCATTGTGGTCATTTTCAGCGGTTCAAATATTTTGGAATTGTTTGCAGCTTGACAGTGTATACAGGAAGCGATAAGCGTTTCAACCTGGCGATCTATTCCCGGCCACCATACTTTTGTTCGAAGTAAGGTTTTAGTTTTCACGATACCCTGGTGTTGCGCATGTGCAATATTTCATGTGTGGCTTCGTAGTTTCTTGGGCATAACAAGTCGGTTTCCTCGTAGTACGATACCGTTATCTGAAACTGTTAGTTCGTTACAAATACTGTGATATGGCGTTAGATCGATGTTATTATCGTTCTTATTGTTGTTAGTGTTACCAGCTGGTTTTCGTGGCCAGCGGTTTTTTCTAATGGCCGTTATAAGAGCTTGCATTTCAGCATCCTTCTGACACGCTTCCTCAATTTCCTGCCTGTTCATCGATTTAGGCACTAGATGGTCGGTTAAAAAATTTACATAATCTTCTGCAATGCTGTTCTTTTCGAGTGTTGACAAAGGTTTACGGGATAGTACATCAGCTGGATTGGTTTTACCGGGTCGGTGTCGTAGTTTAAATTGGTACTGTTGTAACCGGAGAGCCCATCGTTCAATCCGCGCAGATGGCTTCGCTTTGGGATGGTATATA